ATATATATAAAATTAAAAACTGTAAATGCAGCTTAAATTATAAATGATGTAAATTGCATTGCATTTTGACAGATTATAATCTGTTGTATGAAAAATAATGACAGAATTTCATTTTTGGGTGAACTATGCCTTTAACTGAAAATACTGTATATTGTACAAATCAAATATTGTATTTATTTGTATATTTAATTTATTTCACAGATTTCTTATTTTCGCATTTATTCCACATTATGTCACTGAATTGTATTTTTCCTGTTTATATATATGACTTCTGCAAACACAAATCTGTCCCTTAGGAGGCACACATGAGCCATTTTTTTCACCACCAGTAGAAATGTTGTTTATTACTGTAATACAATAATGTTGCAGTGTATTCAACAAAGCATCACATTTACATCTATGTACTGATTCTCTCATTGATACTCCTATTTCCTTTGTTTACATAAAGCTTTATGCACAATAAACTCACAATTTCCTAAATGAAGTAAAAATTAGTAATAGTAATCTATTTGAGCACAATTGTGATTATATCAAAACTACTGTACTAACCAAGTCTTCAGACTGTTTATTATAACAAGCATGCAAGTATAAGCACATGATGCGGACCTGCTGTTACTGCTGATTGGTGCATAGTAACACAAATGCCTTCACTGGTTACTGTGACAACGGCACTGAATAGAAAAACACAGCAGCATGCCAATGTTCACCATATATGCAGCCTCAGGCCATAGTCACCAAAAAAGTGCATATTTCTTAAATGTGTTTCCAGAGCAATTAACTTTTTAAAACTAATGCAGAGAAAAAAAGAAGCAGAAATGCAATCAAGCAGGGCCGTCACTAAAATTGACAGGGCCTGGGCCCAATAAGTCGACAATACAACAGAGGACCTTAGTGGGCCCCTCGTCACAGATCCTTGGTCCTGGGATCAGTTCCCGGTTGTTGTAGTTGTTTTTGTTTGTTTTAATGTACTTCTGAATTTTATGTTGATTTGAAATTATAATTAGCAAAGACGTACGTTCTGATTAAAATTTTAATCTAATTGATTTTTGGTATTTGGGAAAATACTATTTGACATAAATGAACAACATGCTGTTTTTTTATATTTTTAGAAAAATATGCCCTCATAAAGAAAAACGCAATTCCAGGAAACATGTATTGCCTCTTAATAAAAAATGTTATCGGTAAATACACCTTAGTATATTTATAGATTATTTGTCTTTTTATATTCCTATAAACTTAAACCATCATTGTTCATGGCATAATAAAAATCGACCACAGTGATAGAGTGCTAAGTGGGTCAGAAGTAGCAGTCAAAGCAAATGTATGACAATGCATACTCATAAAACATCATAGAATTTGCACTTCTCTTACCTTCTTTGTTTATATTCATACTAAAATTAATCCACTACTTGAAGAATTTTAAAAATCGACTATGCAAACTGATGACTCACACCAGAGATGCTGATTTAAATGGGAGTCTGTCTCTTTAAGAACATGCACTTGCAGCCATTTTCTGCTCTTTGTGTGGGGTGGATTAGCGGATAGAGACCGAACCCAGAGCATCAATTCTACTCCACCGAGCAAACGCTGTTTCACACAGTTTCTCCCCGTTTTGCACTGACCGCCTGTTAGTTTAAGAGCGGACATGCAATTAGCAGGTAGGTAAATGTGAATATTTTCATGAATTACAGAGATGAGAGCGCTCGCTCGACGGTGAGCGCGAGATGATGGCACCAACCTGCGCGTGTAACGTTATTCCCCAACATGATGCTCAGTCATATTTTCACAACGAAAACGGCGTGGCTAGTACGTTGTTTCAAGTCAGCCGCCTTTATGTGCACATTTGAGGGCGTTTTACACTAATTTGGTGAAGATGGTTCATTATGATGGAGGTGCTGATAGCATCTCTCCGCTTTATGGGTGGGGTGCGGGGGGTGCGCGCGCGCACGTATCACATCTCATGTGTGATCGAACGCGTTTTATCTTTATTTGTTTACATTAGATCACAATTAGATTACTTAACGACCAGTGTCGTTTCATGTCGCCATAAGTACATTTTGGGAGGTTTTTAAAAATTCTTTCCACGAGCTGTCGAGCTTGCTCGTGCTGCTGGTGTCCGGTGACTGGGTTATTGCCAACCGAACCGTTATTTTGACGCCTTTGATGATTAAGAAATGCGTGTATGACACTTTAAATGACTGATTCCAGCCTTTTCCTTTAAATGCGTGGATGGGTTTTGCTTATGTTATGATTAAGGACCCATATTTTGAGTTTTTATGTCGTAGAATTGGGTTTAGTTAACATGTCCAAGCTGTTAATGTAATTCAGAAATGATCATTTAAACGATATTGCGAGGTAAAGACCAGCTTATTGTACGATATCCTGCTTAGTTAAATGCTAGTTATGATATTAAAAATACACGAACTTAAAAAATAATGATATGATTCAACATATTTTGTTAAATTAGTTTCAACCTTCCTCTAAGGAAAATAGTCCATTACAGACTGCTATTGGCCAACAACAAGACGAGCACTGCAACAATATTATTATTTTATGTATTAATCTGCAATCCATGTTAATTTAAAGTAATCTATTTCTATGTTTTTTTCTCTCATTCAGCTCTTTATATATTTTACCGGTTTAAATTCTGATTGATGTTTTCATTGTCTTTATGGATTTATAATCTAGCCCTCTATCAGAGTTTTAATTGCATAGATTAAAACTGAAGACCTCCAGGGCCATTTTTACCACAGTCGTTTTTAAACGAGGAGCGATAGGAGTGACATGAAAGTAGCACCAGTATGTTGCCATGGTTAACTGTTCAATATCCAGTTTAGTGGTCATTTGTACACTACAAACATATTTGTTCACTAATCAAGTACTCTTGAGAGAACTGTGTAAAGTAAGAAGTTAATTGTTGTCCAAACCTTAAAGTTGTGATTAAACAGAAGTAGCAACATATATATGTATATATATATATATATATATATATA